GTAACGAAACAAAATGACAGCGAGTTATTAAATTATAGAAGTATAGAAAGTTCGCTAGGCGTGTTTAGTGCCGGTGGTGGTTTAGCGGTATTAGCACGATATTTGCCGCTGGTATATCCAGATTCTAGACCACCACCCGTCCCGTTACCCTCACCAGAAGAAACATTTAGCCATGAAGAATGGGTGAAATTAGGGATTAGCGATTACGCTATTGAAATTATAGAAGAAAGTGGAAATAATTCTTCGCCGTGTGCATCTTCACCAGCTGCTTACGTTCCTCCACATTCTCTTGCTGCTTTTGGATTGTTCCTTAGACTTCCCGGTTACGCAGAAGTATTATTAAGAGATCGAAAACGAGCTCAGTGTTTGTTACGCCTTGCTTTAGGCGTTTCAGACGACGGTGAAGGTGGAGACGTTTTAACATCGCCGTTGGCTGCGTTACTACCAACTTTGCCATTCCAAGTTTTAAAACAATTACTCGACGCTACACCCGCGACCACCGATGATGGTCTTCTTTTGCGTAAAACGACTATCGAAGTGGGTGCTATGCTTTTATTGTTGAACTGTTTGGCGGTATTTACCCATCAAACGAATCAGAACGACAACTCGGAGCAAAAAATAACCGGGAACCAAGGTGAAGCAGGTCGTAGCGATGATAATTCACATTTGTATTGGGCGAAGGGTACGGGATTTGGTACCGGCTCTACACAACAGTCATGGAACGTTGAGCAAGCGTTGATGCGACAGAGATCCGAGGAAGAGCACGTTACAGTATTATTGCAAGTTTTAGCAAGTTATATTGGTTCCGGTGGACAAACGCAAAGAGAACTGCCAGCGTCTTTTCCCGATCTATTAGCCAGATCGTGTTTACTTCCAGCCTTGTCTTCATATTTAAGAAACGATTCGGTGTTAGACATGGCGAGGCACATTCCTTTGTATCGCGCTGTATTGCAATTGCTCAGAGCTATGGCCCTTTCGAATCAATTAGTTCCGCTCTTGTTACCTAGGGGGAAGTCTAGTGAACCGTCCGTCGTATCGCTCCTATCTAGCATGAGGGTTTGCGTGGATACGTACGTTCACAAGATTAATCGTACTAGGACTAATAAATCGAAAACGCTATTCAAGTATCCCGATGATACTGAACAGGACGAAGGTTTAGCAACGTTGATTCCAGATATTCAAGAAAGTGCCACCATAGTGCAAAACGCCACTTCTAGGTTATCAGGAATCGAAGAAGAATTACCTGGTCCTAGCCCCACGGCTCCAGAATTACCTCTACGTTCTATCGAACAACGATACATAGAAGTTATGAAAAATTTACAATTTGGTAAGAATAGTAAGATATTTTTTTTATCATCTGATGAAACACACATGATATTATTTTATATTATGTGTGTATTTGTAGATACGTACGAAATGATCACCGAAAATCCAGAAGCTGGTGGATATAAGTTTGCTGTCTCATATCATTTTGAATCCACTATGAGGGCAGCTGGAGAAAGAAGTCATCCTACGAGAGTGAAGAGATTGGCGCAAGAAGCTGTCACACTTTCTACAGCGTTGCCATTGTCGTATAGCAGTAGCGTTTTCGTCAGATGCGACGCTGATAGGTTAGACGTAATGAAGGTAATTTGTAAAAATTAATAATAACGATAAAATAAAGATAAAACTAACAAAAATATTAATCGATTTTGCACATTTCTTTTCAGGTACTCATAACAGGGCCAGCGGAAACACCATACGCAAACGGATGCTTCGAATTTGACGTATATTTTCCTCCGGATTATCCTAATAGTCCGATGTTAATAAATCTAGAAACTACTGGTCGTCATACCGTGCGATTTAATCCAAATCTATACAACGATGGAAAAGTCTGCTTGAGTGTATTGAATACTTGGCATGGTCGCCCTGAAGAAAAATGGAATGCACACACTAGTAGTTTCCTTCAGGTAATATTAATCGGTTTAAAGTCTCAATTGTTAAGTTAAAAAATTTTTCATTTTAACATTAAAACAGGTCTTAGTATCGATACAATCGCTGATCTTAGTATCAGAGCCTTATTTCAACGAACCAGGATACGAACGGTCGCGAGGTACAACGAGCGGAGCTCAATCTAGTCAAGAGTATAACGCGAACATTTGTCAAGCTACTGCTAAATGGGCGATGCTTGATCAAATTCGCAATCCATGTCCTTGTTTTAAAGAGGTAATTGCATTTAATATTTTGTTTACATATTGTGCGAAATATCGAATTTACAATTTTTGCGTTTGCTAATTATTTCATAGGTCATACATACTCACTTTTGGATAAAGAGACATGAAATTGTTGCACAATTAGAAAGATGGATAAGAGATATGGAATTACACGGATCAGATAGAAGATTTGGTCGTACTCTCTCTCTGAATGCATTAGCTTTAAGAGTAATTAACTATTTAACACGTTTATATCGTATACTATTATTATAATTTATACGTTTGATTAAATTTTTGTAAAATTATATTTTAATATTTTTCTCAGAGACATTATAGTTTGTTGAGGGAAGAATTGAGTAAATTACCAACTCCTGAAGGCTTGGAAGATTTGGTTGAACCGCTCGCATCACCAGGCTCACCGATCGAATTGTCCGGCACTCCTGGCACCCCAAATACGCCACCAGCATCGACGGTTCCTCCAACTGGCACAATTTCTACGCCAATTAATAACTCTGTTGGTTCCATGAGCAATGCAAGTGCTAGTAATCATGTACACCACGACATCGACACAGACGTTGAGATGGAGAAGATGGTTTCAAAAGTGTGTGAATAGCTAAAGAATGTTAATAGACATTGTTGGACATTTTGAAAAGTCTATATTGTTTGTGTTATGACGGACAAATAACGGACTGACCGGAAATGAAAGGAAATCCTAGTACGTGGGAAAATTTCAGTTGATTGACGGATGGTTAGATGATGAATGAAAGATTACTTGTATCTTTTCGTTGAACACATGACGATATCGATAAAAATGAGGATAATTCGGAAAAAAACGAAGAGGATAAACGTATGCGTGCATGTATATGTGGTACGTATGAGGATAGAGAGAAATTTGGTAAGAAAAAGAAATGAATGAGCGAGAGATAACGGAATGAATCGTGTAAAGAGATAAGGAAAAATGGAAAAATACGAAGAATGAATGTTATGACGAGTGAAAGGGACGAGGATGAGTCGATAAAAAAAAAAAAAAAAGAAAAAAGAAAAAAAAAAAAGAAAGAAAGAAAGCGCAAGAAATAGTCAGTGGTTAAAAATTCGGTATGAATGTGAATAACTCGTACGTAGTAGGTAACTCTCTGTGGCAACTGCTATATTATATGTACGCTGCATTCTACTACTTCGTATTATCATAAGTAACAACTCTGTTATTCGATATTTATTATACGTGTTCCTCGTTTATGTAGCCGGTAATTCCCTATCCTTCTCTTCCTTCCCCCATCTCCCAATAGCAATGCGACTGACTTTAAACGACACTTATTCCAACAAACGAGGCGATATTGATAATAAAAACGGCGAAACAAATAATAAAAACAACGACGCGAACATTATGGAAGAACGGCTACGTGAAATATATATATATATATATACATATATATACATACATACATACATACATACATACATATATATATATATATATATTGATATATTAAAACAGTCACTCGCAAATACGAATAGGACGTACCCTATATACTGTAATTTTGCGCGAACCAAGTTATCGCTTTTCAGTTGCAACGTTTAAAGTTTCGTTTCTCATTAACACCACCATCCTCTCCCTCCCCCTTATCATAGTAAATCGTCTCAGCCGTTTAGCTCAGTATCGCATTGCTCTCGATTTATGAGTAGAAAACAGTGCAGAAAATTGCTCCATAATGCATGATGCAGTTAGCACTTGATATGTGTGCGCAGTGTGATTTAATATTTATCGTGCCTGTATCGATTACGGTCCGCATTGTATTTTTTACGGGAAATAATAGTACGACGTGTTCGGCTTAAAAGTGAATGCATATTTTTCAACATCGAATTCCTTTTTCCACGATTTCATCGAAAACCCAAGAACAAGGCCAAGATTTTTATCGAGTAGCCTTCACTTTTAAAAGAATTGAGATTTGCATTCGAGTGACGATGTTTCTTCCTCTCTTTCATTTCTTTTCTCTCTCTTCCCCTTTTTCTTTTCATTTTCTTTCTTTCTTTCCATTTCTTTCCTCTCCTCTCCTCTCCTTTTCTTTTTTCTTTTTTTTTTTTTTTTTT